TCAGACACCGACAACCTCCACAAGTTCAGATCGTCCTCTCAGCCCCAGGCAACGTCGCGCCCAACAGACCCAAAGAGAGTCAGCAGCCAGCAGAGCAGTTTTCACACCAGTTCATCAGCCTCAGGATGAAAGCCACACAGGCTCTGCAGTTCTCATTGTGGTGCTCACTCTGGCTTTGGCTGCACTCATCTTCCGCAGGATCTACCTTGCACATGAGTACAAGTTTGACTATGATTTGTGACCTTCCTCCTGAGTCAACCGCTCGTACTACCAACTCCAGAGAACTTTAATTAGCTAAAGCAGAACCAGATGTGAGGCAGTGGCTAACAGTGACTACAGCTGTCCTCCCTGCCTGTCCACAGAGGGTTCAGCCTCCACTTAGGGGGAACTTTCATTCCTCTAATCGCTAGAACACCTCCAGGGTGTCTTTAATTTAATGTGAATTTTACTTTCCAGAGCATCTTGAATTTTTGTGAATGGGAAACTTCATTGTTTGTGACCTGTTAAACCAAACACACATCATGTCCCCTTCCATAGAAATTGTCTATCTTACAGCTGCTGACTGTTTCCACTATTGAAATAACAGAGTAACGTAAATTGACAACAACATAGGATCAGGGGCAGTTGTTGTCTCATACTAATTATTTGATCAAGAAAGCATCTGCACAAATTACATGTGCTATTATGACTTTATCATGTGTTTTATCTTCCTGCAAGGTCAGCTTGGTCACAGTGCACAGGGCTCTGTTTTAATGGTTTAAGGCTAACAACAAGCACAAAGTTAATGTGGACAATTGTTTTAATTGCACGGGGGCATTCAGACCAATCTGAATAGCAGAAGCTGCAGCTGCATCACTGTGTGTCCTGCTACTTTTAGGTGACTGTGGGGATTTAATAGACTGATGTAGAAGCTTTCTGTACACTGTAAAACATCAGTAGTTCAAACAAGGACCAAGACAAATATTAAAAAACTAAATTTAATAAATTAATCTAAATACAGTACAACAGAGCTTTATGTTAAAAAGAGTGGACTATAACGCAGTCTATTCCTTTATAGGTATAGTGTCTTTTACTGATACCTGTACCGATATCCTGTGCTATAATCACTGTCATTTTTGTCTGTGTATTTATTTGAAAAGAATACAAAAAGAGTATTTAAAATGTTTAAACTGAGATTTTTTTCTTGATTTCCCTCAAATACAATAAATTTATACTCAGCTTATACAAAGTTGTCTGTGAAGATCCAATTAATACTGAATTATCAGTGCATCTAAAGATTTTGTTAGCAACTTGTGCTACTGATAAGATGATAACCCTTAGCTAAGGCATTGCATATTCCAGCAAGAAAATACTAAACAAAACAACCAAATAGTAGATATTAGAAAGGATATCTGCAGTAAAAGTTCAGGTATATAACTAAAGGCTAAAGGCAGAGGAACTTGTGCTTGTATTGCACACTAGTGCACAGGATTTTGGTAACGTGCACTAGAATTGGTGAAGGCATGTGTAGAAATTAGCAACACTTGCTTTCAGTAAGTATTTTAAGTCAATCGCAATATTAATTATTCAGCACAACAATGGTAAACCACATTCTTCACAAGTTGTCATAGCACTATAGCTCCATAGTAAAAGCCTCGAGTGTTATGTTTCTTCACTGTCATCATTGGATGTTGTCTTTGTACTATTTTCATTTAAATATAGAGTTTAAATTAATTGTTACTTTTTTGGAAATGGGGTTAAAAATTTATGAATTCTTTCAAAGTGAGGTTTAGGATTATGCTTTCTTTTCCTCTAAACTTTAACCCTTTAAAGCCTAAAATAATTGTTTGAAAATTTGTAGAACAATCTGGGAAATATGATATACTAGATGTTAAGGGGTCAAAGGTCTTTTAGTGGCTGAAGTGTCTAATGTCTTGTACACAGAAACATTTAAGACACATTTCCATCAGAACACTACCTGCTTTGTGCTGAAGCATTTGTTATATGTTGTGCTGCCACCAAAATAGAGCCTGGAGTGTAAAGCTTCCTAGCAATCCTGTGTGACTGATCCAGTATCAGCTAAATGCATGTTTACTGAAGAACATAATCAGGGCAGACAGCTCTGAAATCTTATTACCATAGCAATGTTTATTGGTGATGTCATTTTAAGGATTACTTGCTCAAACAAGACCGTGTCTTCATAAACGTCTGCCAAACGTGCAACCAAGTGCTTACTTCCAACACAAGTATAACTGCCTGGACTCTTCACCTATCACACCAACATCACACTTTGTTTCCAACACAAACTCGCTTTTCTGTGGATTTGTAATTCCATTTGTTTCGGTATCTTTCCTCCTTCGGTACTTCTGTCACCCCAGCTGTTTCATGGTGTTCATATCACATGTCTTTGCATTCATTTTTTGTTTGCCTTGCATTCTCTGAAGTTATTTTTCCCAGTTTTTAGACTCAGAAACTGTCTCAAGCATTTAGTATTTACCCTTTTTGATTCAACTTAGATTTAAAATTTTATCAGTCTCATGAGACTCAGAGGAACATGGAAGCAATTTAAATGTATTCTTTGCACATCGAAGGTGACAGCTTTCTGATACGTAGAATGTCTTGGCTGCATACAGATAGGTCAAAGGAAGTTGCAACAGTCTACGGAACAAATTTGCCTCTGTAGTCTTTTTCTTCTTCAAGCAGCATCGGATACCTGCATATGTCCAGGTATTACATGTAGACAATCAAGATTTTTTTTTTTTTTTTATCAGTATGCATTTTGTCAGAATTTCTTTATGACAGTCTCTTCTGTCTTTATTCCCATAGCTCGTGTACTTGGATATAAACAGAAAATAAATCAATTTCAGATGAAGGAATGTGAATTTTATTCTGTCTTATCCTTATTTATTACCTTATTTAGCCCCTCACAGCCCATTGTTCATCAGGGGGCTAGTTTCAGTTATTGTGCAAATGTATTGTTTATAAGGTTGGGGAAACCTGCAGTAGCTGAAACTGAAGAAATCACTTGGATGAAAAGTTGCTCCCACTGAAAACGCTATGTCCAGATGAACAGAATCAACCTTTTGGGATTTTCTTACCTGAATGATCGAGCATGCATCAAGGTGACCTCTTGCAGTTGTGTGCAGGGCCTGGATCCCAGAATGTCTGACAATCAATAGATGCTCTCTCATTGTTTCACTGCCTGTTAAACTTGTTACAGTTTCCTTTGGGCATATTATCTTGCTTTTCAGGCTCTGCATGCTCAAATTGCAAGATTTTGATAAAAACGAATCAGGGCCTTCAGGACAAAAAAGTTGTTTGATCAGTGCAACATGACTAAATGCTTTATTTGATTTTTTATTTTATGAACACTATTTTTACACAGAAAAAATTAAAGCCAGATGACTATCAAAGTGTACAGTAAAGCCACCCACATGGCAATACGACCTTTTAAAAGCTCACCCAATATCCACTTTTTGAAGTTTTCCACAGTGAATGATCAAAGGACATATCAGATATCTAGTTTTTAGTCTTCTAAAGACATTGAATTGATGCCGTTTTTGTAGTGAAGCTATGATGCATGCCATGATGATGGTCAAAGTATGTTATAGATTAAAATCAGAAAGAACCAATCAGCTAAGTAAAGAGAAATGACAGGCCATGATTACTTTCAGAACATTTACTTTTTTTCAGCTTTATTTGATAGACACAGGGAAGAAACGACAGAGAGAGAAGGGGAAGACATGCGGCAAAGGGTCGGACTTGAACCGGGAACGGCCGCTCTCATCCGTATGGCACGTGGTCGCCCCCTGAGCTAGAGTGCAATTTTTTTCATTTTATTATTATTTTTTATTTATTTTTTTAAGGGGAAAATAAATCACACTGAGGATGCCAAAGTCATGTATAAAATATGAAACACTTGGTGTTAAGGTAAGGAATTACAAAAGGGTAAATTGAACTCCTCTATGTTCAACACTGTGTCTGTGACGGTTCTCGGTCATCCAGGTCATCGTAAGCTAAGGAGCTTGGAAAGAAAAGCGACCGCACTTCTTTAGGTTTCGTGAAGACGTTTCACCTCTCATCGGAGAAGCTTCTTACACAATGGTATCCTGCAAACTCAGCTCTCTTTGCCCGAGAGATGTCCAGTGTTGAATCATTTCTTTCAGTGTTACATCCCCTTCCTCAAGCCTTCATACAACCTTATCAAGCCTTGTCATATAAAGATGTAAAAGTAATTACAGAGACTGTGTTCAAATTTCTGTCAACATATGAAAATTAAAAATACAGATGTTAGAATAAACAGCTGTACTATCCTGATTTTATTCAATGTGTTTTTGGATCTAACTCCTGCTATCATGGACTTTTGTAGGCTTTTCTTTTTCACATTTGAACAACATGAAACGTTGTTTAAGGAGGACAGCCTCCATTTTTACTGTGCTTGTTTTTATTGCCTAATTGTAAAATCTACTCTTGCCAGTAGCAGCAGCAGCAGCAGTGAACCCGGGCGGGCTTAAAGAAAATCATCATCTGTTTCTCCAAACACTTGATAGGATAATGCATTCTAATCATTTAAGAGCACATCGTCCTCAACACCCACAAAGACTGCTCGAAAATGTGGTGCTGAGTTGACGCTGGGTTTTGGCGAAACCCCTGATTTTATAACGTATATATCTCCTATTCTAAACTGAAAATGATATCGCAAATGCCGGACAGTCATACATACAGCTGACTGGAATTAATCTAAGTGAGTGTAGCTCGCAAATATTGTTTTTCATTGTTTTTTTTTTTTTAATATTAATACAACGATCACTCCCAGCTCGTCAGGCGTGCATTATGTTTATGTGCTTGTTTATATATTTGATTATTTCATGTGACGCTACATGTGGTCCTGAAGCTGCGCGCTCCTATCCACGAAAAGCACCTCTGGAGTTTGATGACCAATCACAGCGCTTTTCAGTCTTCACCATCAGTCTCTCTCTGCGAAGCAACTGGCGCACTCCTTCACCACAGTCTCTTGACTCTCAAGCTTGATTGTCTTCCAGCTTTAGACAGAAACATGGTACGGCTCACGGAGGGTGCTGCGCGTGGAAGGAAAACGTTGCTAATCGACTCTCAGCTGGACTTCTAACTCATCATGCCGCGTTACACCAGGGTCCTGCTTCTAGTTTTGTGTGTGAGTCTGATCGGGGAATGCCGGAAACACAGAAGTAGGAAAAAACGGTGGTCGGCACCGGCCGGGACTCATAAGCCAGCAAAGTAAGTTCTCTGTTTCATTTTATTTTAAAGTAAAAAAAAACAAAAACAAACGAAAAACAACAACAACAACAACAACAACAAAAACCCCAAATGAAATGAAACAGCAATGTGACGTAAATCTTTTAGCACGTCAAGATAATTCACTCGTGGTTCATCCATCATATTAAAACATTAGTGTGGCACTGAACAGCATATTTAAGTCTTTAGTCTTTCTTTCTACGAACACATAGAATCACACCATTCAAGTGTAAATTCCCCGTGGCTAAATACATTTCACCAATTTGCAGTCCAGTTCATTTTTGAGTGGTAACTAACTGTGTGTTTATGCAACCAAACCGTGCGTAAAAAGCAGCCATAGAACAGCAATCCGCTGTCCTCGAGCTTCGTGAAATCATCTACAGCAAAGAAAACCATGCTTGGAGATACAGCGTGTTATACAGATGTTATTTTAGTTATCAAGACTTCTGTGAAGGGAGCAGGAACGGGTCCGTAGGGGGCAAGAATTTTAGGAATTATCATTCTGTCTGTTATTTGGCTGCTATGGTTCGCTAATTGTCAGCTCTCTACCCTTTTCCAGGAGCACTCCATGACTCTATATCCTGGATTTAATCTCTTTGGCTAACAAGCTGTGCAAGTTACTGATGCTGATCCTGTAACGTCTGATTACAGACTCACGTTTCCTTTAGTTTCTTCCGTAATAATTCAGTTTTCCTTTTCATTTTTGATCTGTTGCTGATTATTCCTGATTTCACATGTGTCATGGTTCCTCTTTTCCCCCAGTTTTTGTGTGTTCTTGAATCAGTTCTGAGTTATGATGTTATGATTTCCTTCCAGCTTCTCATTTTTTAGTCTTCCCCTATGTTTAGTATTATTCCCCATTGTTCATAGTTGACTTATTGATATTTCTAGTTTCTAGTCTCAGCTAGTTCCCCCTCATGTCCAGTTTGTCTTAATCACGTCTTTGTGTTTTTTCCTTCCAAGCATTCCTCTTGTATATCAGCATTCCCTCTGGCTGTTTACATGTCAAGTCTACGTTCTGCACTTCCTGTCTTAATTTACCACCAGTCCCTGGTCTTGTGTGCCTTGTGCTCAGCTTAGTTTCAGTCTTGTTTCTCAGATTTAGCTCGTGTTTTCTTGTGTGTTCCAGCTCCAGTTAATTATGTCACATGTGTACTTAATCCCCCAGTTTCCCTCAGTTCCTGGTCGTGTCATAAACCGTCACGCTATGTGTCTCCCCTGTGTCTCCCCTGTGTCCCTTTTGCCCATCCAGTAGTTTCTCAGGGTACTTTAATACTCGTTTTTTAATTTTATTTTTGCTGCACCTCTTACTGGGCTCTTACAGTGTTTGTGGATCATTATTATTTGGACACTTGTTAACTGCTTTTCTTCCTTTATTTTATATGTAAATAGAGTTGGTTGCAACTCATAAGGGTCACCACAATAGCTCATCCATTCAATCTTTTCCTATACACATATCTAGCATCGCTCCTCTCCATATGTCTAAAGCAATTCAGTGTCAGTCTTGACAAACATGCAGTGTATATACCAAAATCCGTTTCGTTACTCTGTGCGACAGAGCTGCATTGTTGTTCATAAATTAATAAAACCTATCAATGAGGCACCCTGATGTTCTGGGTGAGTGCCCTAAAATACTCACTGAAATGGAGTATTTTGCAGCAAAATGAAGCAGTGTACCTTTTATCTAGAGAGACAGAAAGAAAACTCAACTACTTTATTAAGAATGTGAGGCTATGGGTATTCTAGGGGTGTTTTGATCCATTCACACCACAAGTGACAGCAACTTAGTGCAGTGTGTTATTTTGTCACCAAAATTCAGAAATGTGCATCAATCAACCTTTGCATTGCATTTAACTGTGTGACTTTAACTTGCAACAACTCACCTCCCACAAGATTTAAGAGTAAAATGTCTTTATTAATTGAGCGATTTATATGTATTAGATTTATTGTGTTATATTTTGTAACTTTGCAATATATTGTGTGATTTAATTTAGTTGACTTTTATTAATGCACATAGTTCCTAAAGATTTTTCATTTGAATATAAATATGTGTCTTATAGGGAACTAACACCTGACACTGTTGTTATTGTAAGGCCAGGCTCCGAGACCAGGATGGAGGACAGGTGTGTAACACATTTGTCTTTTATGCCCGACATTCCAATGTTGCAATTAATTGTTCACATTTGTTTTTAACGGTGACCACAATCTTTCCATAATAATAATTATAATTATAAAGGTATTCATCACACTCAATCACAATTACATTTGTAAATTTCAAGAAAAAATATTTGCAAATTAATTATGGGTCATGAAAGCAAGGTTTGAAAAGATAGTAGCCAAGATTTATTTATTTATTTTATTTTATTTATTGTTGTTTGGATAGTGTAATGGTTGTTTGTTCCTAACATAATTATCATTGTGACCATTAATAAAACAACAGCAGTCTTTCTAGTTTAAGGGTGACAATGTCCGCATTAGTAAACAGCACACGACTTTTAGAGTCTCATGTGGTACTACTTCTTGATTTCATCTTTACTTTCTTTTTCCTTTCTTTAGTCAGAGTTAGGAAAGCTGATGGTTTGGCCTAATATAGACAAATTATCACATTAGGAAGTTGAGGTTTCTAGGCAACCAGGGTGACAGGTTCAGCTCACACATGTAGGCAGAGGTAATTTAATTTTAAATCATAAAGGTAATAAGTAATAATAAGCTGGTTACACAACTGAACTATTGACTTATTTTGTCACAGAGCAGTCTCCTTCTAATTTAGCCCAAATGTTCAGCTGTGAATCATCAGCCTGTTGGGTTCATAGAAAATCTGGTATGTGTTTTGCAATGAGTGAGGATTGTGGATGTTGTTCACCACTGCTAAATTGAAAGATCAATATGAAGGGATCATTTACTGATGAATATGAGGAGTAAGAATGATTTGAGTCATGGGCACCTGACAGTTTTTGCTTTTAACAAAGGTTCACTACTTCTTAATCCTATCTTTTAGTTCCCCTTTTTCTCTCTGTCTGGTTTTTGTCAACAGTCCTCTATCAAAGAAAGTTGTGGATGGAACTAAAAACCGGAAGGTAAAGACCAGCCACCTCCTGCGCATTGATGAACACGATTTCACCATGAGGCCCGCATTTGCAGGTAAGCTCCAATAGCTGCTAATTTCCATCATGATAAGAGTAATGTGTTCTTGATTTCTTTAAAGACGTGTGTTTTCTGAGAAATATAGAAAACCTACAGAGGCAACTGGATACGTCAGCTCAGTGCTTCACTAACATAGTCTCCCAGTCTATTTCTCCAAATTTTGTTCAACCTAAAGTCAATGTTGATACCACTCTGACTCTTTCCTTCTTGACTGACCCTTATAACCCTTAGTTTAAAAAAGAAAAAAGAAAGAACATTCCATGATCAGTTGTGCTCATAAAACACGTGACTCCTGTAAGACTCTCGTGCAATCATTTAAATGAGGAAGAAGTCAAAGTGTGCACCAGCTGTTGCAGTCCCTTCTGGCTTTAAAAGTAGCAACTGCAGTGTAACTAATGAAAGAAGTGTTTAGTGTTTGAACTGCTTCTAAAATGTATATCAGAGTGCGACAGTACACAAGGTTTATCGTCAGCAGTGCGTAAGGAGAGCTAATAAGGTTTCTGTGCTTATAATTAAAGCACCTGCACTGCTCCCATTGGACTGTGGTGAGACACATTTAATAGATGAACAGTAGCAGACAGTTTGGTGAAATATTTGGAATATTTCATATTACATCAATCTGCAATGTATTTATGTAGCTCCACCTTCATGACTGTCTAAAAAACAGGGCAGATACACTCGTATGGATCGGTTCTATTTCTAGTATTGAGACGGTGTGATTTTTATTTCACCATGTCACTCTGCAGTGGGATTTCTTTCTGGTTTTACTGTGTGTTACATTTTCATTGTCTGTGAACTGCCAAGGTTTGCATAAATGTCATCATTAGACACCGAGCATGAGGTTTGGAGTGGACATCTACGTGCATGACAATTTCTTTAGGAATGTGCGGCCCCATCAGCGGGGACTTTATGTTCCACAGGCAATGCAATGCACTTAATATGCATGTGTTGCAAAGACTTCAAAGAAGTGTAACAGGAATGATTATTCCTCCAGCTGTCTGTGTCTATGTTTGCAGCAGAGTAAAATCACTGCTTAATGCACAGGCCTAGTTGTCTAATCTAAGCACAGTCAACCAACAGTGGATTTACAGTTGTTAATCCACACAGAGTTCAGCATGGAATGAACAAAGTGTTTTCTCTCTCTATTCTGGTGAACAGACAAGATAATAATTCAAGCTCTCAAAACTAAGGCTGACTAGGAAAAATTACAGCTGTAATCTTAGATATGTGACTCTATAAAAAGCAGTTGATTAGTATTTAAAAATGAACTCATGCTTCAGAATCAATCACATTACGTATGTAGGGAGACACTCCTTAAAATCCGCACTGCACCATTTGAATAGATAGAAACAAAGGAAAGATTGATGGAGGGGTTTGGTTTTTTGGTTTGGGTTTGGTCAATTTAGCACACAAAAGAACTAGATAAATAGCAGCCCTACGTGTGCTGAGGCACAGGATTAGCAGTGGGTCAATAATAGTGGGACACCCACACTAGGGCTTAAATACCTGGGACTCTCCAACAATTGCCCTTAAATCTGAAGAAGCTTTTTGGATACGAGGTGAAATGTCTTCAAGAAACTTAAAGAAGTCCAGTCGCTTTTCTTTCCAAGAGCTCCATAGGCCATACAGCAAAAGTATTTTTCCCTATGACATGAGCTGAAATTTACTGATGATAATGGAGAAATGGAAACGAAAGGCTCATCCCAAGAAACAAACTTGTAAAAGCATATGCGTTACTACTACTAATAAAATCTGTTTAATAATTTTACTCTAGAATGAGCAAATTTTAGTCCACAAGTTGACTAGACTTTCCTTATCTTTACAAAAAAGATTACACAGTTGTATGACTCCAATCTAACAGCAACAGCAACCGAAAACGTATATATGTTTATGTATTTTTAAAAAAACTAACAGGAAATGCAAACCCTGGTTCCCTGGGTGAAAACCTATCACGCCAAAACTGTGGCACATTTTGTACTTACTCTGTTTTGTGATCTCAAACATGTATTTGTGACAAATATACCAAAAAATAAGAAATCAAACACATTTTAACAGCACGAATGTAGCATGATGAATGCATAGTGATGATGCACTTTTGATTTGTTGGCAAATCCACACATAGGACACTTCATGCAACTATCTCATCAGTCTATAAATGTTTGGAAGAAGAACGGATACCTGCTTTACATTCTCAGTAATTTATTAAACATGAAAACTTGTATTCGTCCTCTGGATAGACCACCGCTGTTTCCTTGTCACTCTGTTTGGCTCAAAATGGACTTTGACTGTAGCTGGAAATTAGGCAATCCTGCTCCAAAAGCACTGCTAGCTGAGGCTTTTTCTCTGCAGGCATCTAGTGTTATGTCAGCTGAAGGGGCGTGTCTTCAGGAGGAGTTATAGTGAGTCCGGAACGTGACATGTGACATATGATGTGAGTAAGAGAGGGGAGAACACTGACAGCTGGAGCTGGGCACGAGTTACTATCCCTTCTTCCAGGTAGCAGCTTTGCTGTGCAACCAGTTATGTAAGGCTGACTCTCTCACTGCTGCAGAGATTAACAACATCACAGCAGCCAATGTGACTTTAATACAGAAACGACAGACTGCTGTGTGAATTTGTTTCTATCTGTTATGAGCCTGCTAGGATACTCTTGCATATCCCTCTAAATCCCAGACTGGCCTTAAATATAATCATCTCATCAGCTAAACAACACAGAGGAACAAACATGAGAATGCTGTGTTCTGCCTAACTCAACCTTTCATGTGAAATTACCAGTTATTACTAATGGCTTTAACGGGATACTCCAGCCTGTTATTTTAGGATTGTGTAAGGAAATGCACTGAAAGCAAGTTTGCAGATCATAAGAGTGACTGCATCACATCTGATGTCACATTTCTATTGAAATCAAAGAAGATCTTAGCACACTTAGTTTGTGTCATCAGAAACAAACAGTTAGATACTTACCCATTCATGAGACAATATGCTATAGTTATGAAAGCCAAAAGTTCTTGTCTGTTATGGAATTTCAGCTGCTCAACACTTTGTTGCCCTCACTGGCTTCTTTTTTTAAATTTCAAAATGTACCCAATAATTTCAGTGGGAACTGTAGGCAGGCATGCTATTTTGCTATGGGGCCATGTTGTTGGATGTCCAGTTTGTCATCATCTTACTGATATAAGCATGGAAAAAAATGCCTGTGCATAGTTCAGTTTTATTGTTGCCTTTACAGATGTGCAAGTTACCAAATGTGCATTAGTGCACCATAGACCTTACCTCTCAGGATTCGGTGTCCATCGTTTTCAACATGTCTTCTTTTAGGTCAGACCCGAGTCTGGCCAAAAGGAAGACATTTTCAGGACAGTGTTCAACTTTGAGATCTTGTGTTTTCCTGCTGGAGTATAAACTTGCATTTGTGGATGCAGTGACAAACTGTGTTCATAAGCAATAGTTTATAGAAGAGTTTCTGAGTCAATATAGATCTATGTCTCTTCTTAAAGCTGTTGTCAAGGCTCCACTGTGTGGTGTTGAGAGTAGGGCCCAAATGCAGGATTCACAAAGCAAGATTTAAAATTCAAAAGGAGCTTTACTACTGACAACTTCAAAGTAAACATAACATAAGGCAGGAACAAATAATCTGACGAGAGGCACCTAACTGGAGGCACCTAACTGGAGGCACACAGCGAGAGACACAGCTTGAGGGTGGACGTGACAAATAACAGAAGCAAACCGAGGCTTTAAATAAACAAGAGGTGATTAAGTCAGAGTGCCAACACCTGCAAACACAGCTGAATTGAATCTGACTAATTAAACAAGGGGAAGCAAAACCAAATATAATGCACACAAGATGAGGGGCTGTCAAAATAAAACTAACACTGCAACCAAGACTACGACATACAAACTGGACACAGTTTAACAGGGACCATGGAGATAAGACAGAAAGATACAGGGACATTATGGGGGAACAAGAAAGGTAAATAAAAAAGGAGACAAGACTGACATGTCACAGGAGACAATGACGACAAACCAAAAAGACGAAGCTGGGACAGACTGGACACGACAGATATATAACATAATAAAATAAAAAACCAAAATCTTAAAACAGAACTCAGATGCACTACAAAATATTATACTCAAAACTAAATATTACAAAATTTGACCATAAGTCATATTTTAAATCCAAAAGAAAGAAAAACAAAAACTTAAAACACTGGATCAGCGACCCTGGACCATGACAGCAGTGCTACCTGCTAGCCAATTATTTCAGCTTGACCTTTATGCACAGACTTTTCTTGATTCTCTAAATATTTGTACTATAGATGCTGAAATCTAGTTGTTTTTTTGTTTTTATTGCAGTTTGGCAATGAGAAATACTATTATTTACTGGTTAAACTTTTTGTATAGGCCTTGTTCAGTCTTTTGAATTATGATGAACTATTACTATTAATTACTTACTTATTAAGGTCAAGGTGAACTTAATAAGGTTTTGTTTTTTTAAGGTAGCATGTTTCCTGGGCTTGTAATCATTGTCTTTGCATCTTTGAAATATGTTAACAACAAATTTAAAATTTGTTTGCAGGATTTCAAATGTCAGTGACAATTTGGTTATTTTATCCATTTTATTATTTTAGTTGAATATAGAGAATATTAGAAAATCATTTGTACCTCTTTTTATTTACAGCTTGCACAGGGTTCTAGCTTTTTGGATAATGTTTCAAAAGAAATGTGATTTTAATAGATGTCTTCACTATTATTAATTTGTAAATAGCTTTTTAGGTGTGCTTATTCCTCTGTGCACAGGCATGCGCCTGCACATTTTCTATCCTCGGGCAATAAAGACTACAGACAATAATGAAAGTACTTTAGGTTCTACTTATTCTCATTGTCTTATTTCCAGTGTTGTAATATGCTATTTACAGAGGTGGGAAGTAATGAAGTATTTGAACTGTACTGTAATTTTTACTTTTACTCCCTGAGTTTTTTAAGAAGTATCTGTAATATCTACTCCTTACATATTCAAAACAGACTTGTTACCTTTGGTTTAATGTGTTATTTTAACTTTAAACATCACAGTGATTTGAGCCTAAACAGTAACACAGGAGACAGTCCCGTTCATGTATTAATCACCAAGGGTGAAAGGGATGTGCCATAGTCGGCCAAGTGGGCCAGTGTTTATTTATTCATTTATTATCATTGTTATTATTTTTATTTTATTTTATTTTTTGGCACAATACCAGAACAACTGCATGTTTCCATAAACTGCAGTTGCAGTACCAGCTAGTCCTATAGAAGAAGAGTGAACATAAAGTGGCAGGTAATTTCAAATGGGTCATTGCATTTTTTCATGTTGAGAAGGTAGACTGTGCTATTGAAAGGTTGCATGAAAATACTTTGCAGGCTACTGCACAATAAACAGGTTAGTTTGCTGTACTGTGACAGATTCAAAGTAAAGAATAGTGTGTCGGACTGGTGCACAGCAGTTGTGGTGCTCATGGTCAGTTAGGTACATAAAGGCTAGCAGTGATTAAGTTGAAGTTAAACTGATGATGTTGAGATTCATTCAGTAAATTCAGAATCAGAATACTTTGATAATTCCTAAGGAAATTATGTGGGTTACTGTTGCTCCAAGATAACAACAGTAACAGACTGAACTAACGAAATAATACAATATATTACAGTAAGAAATATAAGAAATAGCTCTAATACATATACAAATAGCTCAATAATAAATATCCAGAATATTACAGAGATTAAATATATGACAGACATTTACTTTAAACTGTAAAACTTTGTTATTTGTTATTTTACTGTAGAGCATATGCAAAAGAGTGTGTAACTATTGCACTGTGTACTGTGCATTAGATGGAGGAGTTGTACAGAGATATTCACATGCAGGAATGATTTCCTGTGATGTTGAGTGGTGCATTATGGGTAATTTAAGTCTCCCACTGAACATGCTCCTGTGACTGGCCAGCACATCATGGAGTGGATCGGAGGTATTGTCCAACATTGTCCTTGTCTTGGACAGCATCTACGTCTCTGAGTCCAGCTCCGTCCCCACAACATTACTGGCCTTGTCATCAGTTTATTGAGTCTGTTGGCATCTGCAACCCTCAACCTGCTGCTCCAGCATGCAACAGCATAGAGGATGGCAGCGGCCACAACAGACTGATAGAAAATCCTGAGCACTGTCCAAAAAATGTTCAAAGTCCTCAGAGACAACTCTGGCCCTTCCTGTAGAGTGCAGTGGTGTTTTTAACCCAGTCCAGTTCATTATCTATGTGTACTCTGAAGTATTTATAGTCCTCCACAATGTCTACATCGATCCCCTGGATTAAAACAGGGGTCACAGGTTTCCTGGCCCTCCTAAAGTCCGCAGTCAAGTCTTTGGTCATTGTCACATTGAGCTGCAGCTGACTATAGGTCGCTGGCCAAGGATGAGTCCTTCCAAGGTCTTCATGACGTGGGAAGTCAGTGCCACTGGGGCCACTGGAACGTGGTACAGGGACGAGGCATGACATCTTCCACAGCACTGGGACCCTCTGCAGACTCATACTCAACATGAACAGTTTATGAAAGACTCCACAAAGCCTTGAGGACATGAGGACTCACCCCGTCTGGTCCAGCAAACTTGCCCGAGTGGAGTCTCCTCATTTGCCTCTGAACCTGGTCGTTAGTGAAAGTGATAGGTGGGGGAGGGGTGTCAGGACTCTTACAGGAGGCAACGGTGCAGTGTTGAGAGGGAGGGAGAGACAGTGGTGTGGCTACAGGTAAGTCAGTAGGGGGTTGAGCATTCACTGCAGTGTTGAATCTGTTGAAAAGGACATTCAACTCGTTGGCTCTGTCCTCACCACCCCCAGCTCCCCTGCTGTTGGATGGCTTGAATCCAGTGATTGTCTTTGTAACAAACCCACAGCAGACCCGGGTGCACCTTCATGCTTTGCAGCATAGTTTATTTGCTGGTTGCTGTATACACACAGTTGGCTGCAGCTCTCTCCCGCTGCCAGCCACACACACTGACAACAACAACAGTACTGCAGGGCCCAGTACCATATTTAAGCCAGCGGGGTGTGATTGCGGATGCCGTGCAAGTACGTCCACCTTCCCTGCATGACACCGCAGGCCATGCCCCACCACAGTCTTCATGCCACTCCACACCTCTCTCATGCTGTTCTGCTGTTCTGTTATTCAACCTTACCAGCTGTAGAGTGTATAATATAAAGCATAAACAGTGTACTGTCCGTGTAGAGGATGGAAATCAGCCAGGACACCTCATGAAACATCTGCTCATGTCTTATTCAGTTCAGTTGTATAAATCCTCAAAGAGCACTGAACATCCCTGTCCCTTTCACAGCTGGGGTTCCGTTCTGCCAAGACGAGCCATCGGAGTCTAACCACTAAATACATCTGTCGAACTTCTGTTCATCAATAAATTAATTCATTCTTTTAATTACATGTCCTTATTGAACTGATTTTAACAAATCTGCTTTAACCTCTTCCCTGCTTATTTTCCTGTTTATAGGCAAAATCAGCCACTACAACGCAGGCAACAGAAAACAGAGCTATGTTTTTATTTTGTTCCACTTAACTAATTCAAGCTGAGGACCTGTATTAGAATTAAAATTTAGACTGAAATAAAGTTGGTATTCTTATATACTAATGTTATTTTATCATGGCATTAATATAGCACAGGATTCAATTAGTTTTGCATAAAAATAGGTGGTAAAAATGTTCTTCAAGGAGCCACTTTACTTTCTTACTCTGAGTACATTTCAGAGCCGATAGTTTTTCATACTTGAGTAAAGAAGTTGAATTAGTACTTCAACTTTTTACTGGAGTATTTTTAACACTAGTATCTGCACTTCTACTTAAGTACAGAATGTATGTACTTTTAGCACCACTTCAGATTTGTTTGTTTATATCTGAAGGTCCAGCTGTCCCTGTTGGGGTGGACGTTCAGGTGGAGAGTTTGGACAGCATATCAGAGGTAGACATGGTAAGTATTTTAAATGCATTAAATGTAAATTTGCATTACACAAAATGTAGCTGAACAAGTATTTGGATAAAGTACCTGTGAGGCTGAATGTTTAATTGACACTGAAGTTTAAGAGACATGCAAAACTGACTGTGTTATCAGACATGTGACCCCATTCATTTAGAATACTGGAATAGTGATTATGGAAACTGCTAGTTCTTGTAGCGCACCCAGCATCTCGTCACCTAAATTTGTGGCACAAACACAAAACAGTGCCAGTGACTTGGACATCAAAATTTCCAGAGCTGGTAGGAGACTCCTGTAGTAATGTCCAGATGTCTGGAGCTATATAAATAAGTGGTTTCATTACTGCAATGAAGGAAGTGTGAAAGACAACAGGTTATGGCAATAATCCCAACAGTCCACTTGGTACCTCAATTAGACACACAGTATAAGTATCATGTGCAGCCAGGGGCAATTTTTCAACCATGCCATAATCTTGCTAAGTAGTTCTTAGTGCCTAAAAATGAAACTAATCACACAACATAACACAAATTTCCCAGGACACAAACCAAACTGTCCCGTCTCACCAACTTAACATGTTACAATGTGAACTTTAAACAGAGGGTCATTATCTGTGAGCACCCAAGCTTAACATGACTTGTGTGTCAAGCCTTGGAATTAGCATTGTCCAAGTCTAATTTATGAGAGACTATGGCTAAAATATGCTAAGTGTAGGGTAGAACAGGGCTGGCATTTTTACTCTTACATAAACTGCTGATCAGTAAAACATCCTTCAATAACTACTCCTTCATTAGGCTTAAGGTGCTGGCTCAAAATTGGTATGTTTTAAATTTTTGTTATTAATTGTAATAAATATTAAGTAGGTGACACTAACACTTTGTGACAACCAACCTCGCTTTGGGGTTGGTGGTCCCCAGAATTATCAATGAGATATCAGTAATAATTGTGATTTAATAAAAAATTAGAAACTTTTTTTTTTTTTTCGGATATCATCTGAGAGCCCAGCTTTGGCACACACATTGACACATCAAAGCCATTCTTTCTTGGGCCAGCTACTGATATAAGGCTCAACACAAACCAAGCAGAAGCACTCCTGATCATCAGAGAACTGCTCTCTTCCTGGTCTTGTTCTGCTTTACTTCAATAGGGGCTCCACTTGTGGAGGGCTGGGAAGAATTTGTGGACAAATTTCTGTTCTGTTCAGTGGAGGTGGGAGGAGCCAGGCACTGCTGTAACCCAGATAAGGTTGGAAGACAAACTTTGGGCAAACTCAAATTAGATATCTCTATTTATTGGGTAGATGCCACTTACCCTGAACGATATTGGATGTTGGTAGGGGGTGCAGCTATTGGGAAGGAAATGGCCACAATCCTCAGAATAACATTCGGCAGCATCCAGGCATCACGAGCAGAGTTGACATACTTTTTAAAAGATCCATATTTTGACCTGTCCATGGGATTGAGTTTACGTGAGCAATTTGGAGGGAATAAAGGATATGATTGCCCTTCTGCTTTGTTCCAAATCTGTATTTCAACATGATCTGCTCCTGGTTGTCAAAGAACATGCCAGCATTCTCCCTGTTGAAACTTGTAGTGCGTGCCAAGCTTGTGGTCTGTGGTGATCAAATGGCAAGAGTAGGGCAGTGTTTGAGGAAGCGACTAAACCAGTCTGCATCGGCTTGACTGGTTTTACTCCAGGGCTTTGAGATTGTGACTTTCTGTGCCACTCCAATGTTGTATACACACTTATGGAGTTTTTGTTGGTGCAAAGTCATATTAAATATCAGAGGCCTTAATGATGGAGCTTTCCAGTAGTTTTTCTTGATTAGTGCCGCCAAACTGACAATTGTTTATGTGCCAACTTGCACATATGAAATGGTTTAATTCACGTCTTCTCGGTAGATGTTTTTTTAGTAGTAACAGGTCAGTGTTCTGTAGTTCAATTCAATATTATTTATATAGCACCAAACTGATCCTAACCATGGCTTTACCTTATTATTAAGTGTCTAATACTGCCAAAGCTCTTAATAACAAAAACCGAAAACACACACAACAACACATGAAATTACTCTGAATACCTCCTCAACTCAGTCTATTTGTGTTTTACAAAATGATCGCTGTAAAATGGACAGCTCGTAATGGTTAAATATGTGATATCAACAAAGTTTCACAGTGCCTCCTAGTGTGGCAGTAATAAACAACGCGCCAACCAGCCCAAATCTCTCCTACACACTGAAAACAGTCTGAAGTACACAAGGCAAAAACTGTTTGTCACGATTAATTTCAGATGTATATTTGGAGGTGTGTGAGTTTAAACTGCTGAGCAGAAAGTATTGTTGGTATTTGCAAAGAGAACATGGACAACTGTGTGTAAGAAATGGAAACTGGATTTTTTTTAAGCTGACCATATCGCACAAGCATTTCTGCAAATTAGTTACTCACTGCTAATTGTGCCAGTTTTCAATGCCAAAAAGGCACGTCTTAATTTTTGAGCTTGATATTGCAGCAGTTACTGCTGTGTGGAAGAGGCATTGCAAAGGTTTAAGAGTGCATGCTTAGAAGAGTTAGACATTTCTCCAATTTATTTGGAATGTCAGATGAAGATGTTGTAAAAGAAAATGGATTACCAAACTTCCTGATTTTAAATTTTCTCATTTAACTTAGAGATGACCTCCAACCAAAACAATACCAGCAGCAGTAAAACTTGTCCTGGTGGTAAATTTCATAGTTTGTGACCTTATGCTAAGTAATGCGGCTCTTGGCATGTCATTTTGAACTAAAACTGACCGCGCTTGTGTGTCACTTCACAATTTTAACAAACTGAGTCATTTTAGTCTCTGGGTCAGGGACAAGTTACTGCCCCAAGTGGAGTTTAAGCATCTCAGAGTCTTATTCATGGGTCAGGGAAGAAGGAAGTCATGGATTGGGACTATGGCTACTGTGATGCAGATGCTGCATTGGTCCGTTGTGATAAAGAGCATAATAACAAAGATTTACCACTCAGTCTGCACTCTGATCCTTCAGCTGTGATCATACCTGGGTACTACCTGGGTGAAGTGTTTTGTGCATGTCCTACTAGAATATGGGCACGGGACAGACCCAGGACTTGCTGAAGGAATTCAATTTCTCAGCTAGCCCGGGAATGCCTCTGTGTTCCCACAGATGAGCGGGAGGAGGTGACTGGGGAGAGGGAGGTCTGGGTGTCCTTGCAACCCAGCCTGGATGAGTGGAAGAACATGAATGGATGGATGTAGTCACTGTCTGTCATGTTTCATGTATATCACTGAACCCACTGTTAGACAACATAATATACTGTATATTTCTGGCCAGAGTTTACTTTTCATTGCTTAATGCTAGCCATTCAGTGTGCTTTAATGACAGCCATAAAGACAGAAAACATGCTCTGTAATACTCCAGCAGTTGCTGTCTAACACTCACTGTTATTAGGTAGCATTAGACAGTAAATTATACCAGACTGCAGCAACAAAAACCCTCAGCACAGTATTCACTGACATGAGAAAATGTGCTATTTTGTTTCCGTTAAATCCAATTTTTAATAAATAAAAGACAGAAAATTCAATTTATTCTTACAAAACAGTTTTGACCCAGTATACCAGTATATGGGTTAATAAAACCATGAACTTGAAATATGCAAGAATACATACTTTAGATCTTTAAAGGTGGAATCATCTCTGATTAGTAGACATAAGTTATTAATCATGTGAAAGTCTCAGACATGCCCTTAAACTGGTCTTATGCAACATCAAAGGTACTTGTTCACTTGGTGCCAAGAGTACATGTTGCTACAGTCATTAGTCATTACAAATCTGTTGTTATATAATTGTAATACTATGAGAACAGGACAAAAGATTAACTGTGGTGCGGAGGGGGCATGCACGGGCGTAACCATTCCTGTCTGCAGAGCAACGTAGAGGATGAAGGAGAAAAAAAAGAGGGCATTCTAGGACCAAATGAAGCCTGTGGACTGTACTTGGTTAACATGTGTTCAGCATTTTGGCTTACTGTACATTTATCTGTAAACAACTTCAATAATCCAGCAGCCACTGGCTGCAGTGATGTAATCCCAGGAAAAATTAAATAAATTAGGGATAGCAAGACCCTTTCATCCCGATGCTGTCTTCTTTCTCCCATTATCTCAGGACTTCACCATGACTCTGTACCTGAGGCACTACTGGAAAGATGAAAGGCTGGCATTCCCAAGCGCTACAAACAAAAGCATGACCTTTGACGGTCGCCTGGTGAAGAAAATATGGGTACCTGATGTGTTCTTTGTCCATTCCAAGAGGTCCTTCATCCATGACACCACTACTGACAACATCATGTTAAGGGTCTTCCCAGATGGTCATGTTCTGTACAGTCTGAGGTGAAGACACGAAACAAATGCCTTGCAAGAAAGGGCCACCTGTCTAGAGTTACTAAGGTTTATATTCTGCTTTAATTCCACAGAGTAACAGTTACTGCAGCTTGCAACATGGATTTTAGTCGTTTCCCTCTGGACTCACAGACATGTACACTGGAGCTGGAGAGTTGTAAGTATTCTTAGACCATGAGACTCCTTCTTGTGCTGCTATGCAGTGGGGGAAATACTAATTTTATCCCCTGCTAAATTTCTAAGTTCACTCACAAAGAAATTAACAGTTTGAGAATGTCAACCAAAAATCCAAACCAAAAGTGGAGACTGGCTAGGCTCCTCCATGATGTTAATTTGCTTCTTCTTTAGCCACTCCTTTGTTGCCTTGTGGTGTGGTTTAGGTGACTGTCATGCTGGAAGGACGGTGTCATCCAAGATTTGCGGTGTCAATGCAGTGAAGTCGTCATCTACCTTAGCAGAAAAAAGGAAACATGATGTTTCCACATCTGTGTTTAACTGTGAGAAGACTTTCGGTCATTCCCAGCATTTCTCTTTGCAAACGCGGCTGATACCAAAGAACTCGATTTTGGTTTTATCTGACCACAGTGCTTTCTCCCAGGCCTTCTCTGAATCTTTTAGATGTTAATGGCCAAATTAAGGTGGGTCTACACAGATGCCTTCTTGAGTGGGGAGACCTTAGGTGCTGTAAAATTTCAGTCGATTGCAGTGTAGTGTGTTATACTAATGGTATTCTTGCTGACTGTAATCCCAACTGCCTTCAGATCGTTAACAGACTCCTCCCATGTAGTTTTAGGCCGATCCACCACCTTTCTCATAATCGTCTTCACCCCATAAAGTAAAATCTTGCATTGAGCTCCACTCTTCCATTTTCGAATAATTGCATCAACAAGTGTCACCTTCTCATCAAGTTTATTGCTGATGGTCTTGTAGCCCTCTATAACATCATGCAGATCTACAGCCTTGTTCTTCATATCCTTTGACAGCCCTTTGGTCTTGCCAGCTTTTTGGTTGATAATCTGTCTTTCTTCATTAAAAAGACAACCATAAAAATTAGAGACTGTTAATTTTTGTGTAAATGAGCAAACCTACAACAAAAGGGGGCTTTGGTTACTAAATTGTGAATTGATTATTAGTATTAGTATTAGTTTAGTTCTTATTTGTAACTCAGCTATCAGCAGAATACAAGCTTTTATTGAATTTATGAATTTGCTCTATTTGCTTATCCAGGTCCAGCTATGTTCATTCAGATGACTGCTGTTTCCATTCCTACTTTCTGTCCTGCAGATGCTTACACAGATGAGGACCTGATGCTTTATTGGAAAAGTGGCGATGAGTCCCTGAGCACAGATGACAGGATTTCTCTGTCTCAGTTCCTGATTCAGAAGTTTCACACTACCTCCAGGCTGGCTTTCTACAGCAGCACAGGTTGAGAAGGAAAACAAACCCAGATTTCACTTATACATACATGTTTTGTGTAAGACTACATTGGTCACTCTTACAACTGCTCCACAAAAACCAAAGATTTAGGGGAAATAATCTGAACTACCATATATGAAAATCCTGTTTTAGCATCAACACTATGATTATCTGGGAGAGATTCTAGAGTTAATTTCATGTTTAATCAGTAAACTAAGCCAAACTAAGTTGGGAGAGGTTTACATATTTCCTCTAATGTCTGCTGATGGCTCAGCCAGATCCAGCTATTACAGTCAGAAGTCATCCTGCTGACTGAGCTGAATCTCAGTGGGGCAAGTTAAAAAAAAAATCCCAAAACATGTTCATAGAGTGGAGGGAAAAAACGCTTTGATTCCCTGCTAAATTTGTCAGTTTGAAGACTTACAAAGAAATAAAAAAATCTCTTATTTTTATGGTAGTTTCATTTAATGAAGAGCCAGAATATCAACGAAAAGATAAATAAACAGTGCAACACAATGCAAACATAACAAAGTTATGAATTAATTTGGATGTCTCTGAGTAAAATACATAGGTAAGTAATAAGTAGATCCCCTAAAACCCAGCCAGATTTCTGGTTCCCACAGGTAGGCTGTGTGCCCATGTGGCAAACAGATTAGAGTTCTGCAGTGGCTATCCATCAGTACATTAGTACAAGTGCATTTGCCTTGTCAAACCTAAAAATAGAAATTTATATGTTAAAACTTACCAAAGTAGAGCAATTTCCATCTCAGACAGCTCTGTCAAAAAGTCCTAGTCTATCGATTAATATGTACATCTGGCCCTTACATTACTGCCATCTTGTGGCCACAGTCAGATATTGCAGCTGGAAGCTGTGCATATTTCATCTCATAGCAAAGTGTCTCTGTCTCTGTCTCTTAGGGCATGTCCATCTCCCAGTAACAATGACTGGAGCTTTTTAGGCTGAGAGGCCAGCAGCTTTATTCTGGTGGTTTGCACATGTGCATTGTGGATAAATCTCTGGTCTTTCAGTGTAAACTGATGAGAGAGGAGCACATGAGGCAAGCTGCCGTTGGCTCAGCTTTTAGTTCAATTAAGTTTTATTTCTATAGTCCAAAATCCCAACAAGACTTTTGCTGCTCTTAGATCAATTTCAATGTGTTATGGAAACTCAGCTGGCATTAGCAAGTAAATAAGATTCAGTGATTTAGCAGCAAGAACAGATAAGTTTGCAGTTGCTAACCACCTTCATTCAATTCAATTCAGTTCAATTCAATTTCATTTATACAGCACCAAATCACAATAACAGTCGCCTCAAGGCGCTTTGCATTGTAAGGTAGGCCCTTCAATAATACATACAGAGAAAAACCCAACAATCATATGACCCCCTATGAGCAAGCACTTTAGTGACAGTGGGAAGGAAAAGCTCCCTTTTAACAGGAAGAAATCTCCAGCAGAACCAGGCTCAGGGAGGGGCGGCCATCTGCTGCGACCGGTTGGGGTGAGAGAAGGAAGACAGGACAAAAGACATGCTGTGGAAGAGAGAAAGAGACTAATAACAAGCATGATTCAATGCAGAAAGGTCTATTAACACATAGTGAGTGAGAAAGGTGACTGAAGAAGAAATACTCAGTGCATCATGGGAATCCCCCAGCAGCCTACACCTATTGCAGCATAACTAAGGGAGGATTCAGGGTCACCTGATCCAGCCCTAACTATATGCTTTAGCAAAAAGGAAAGTTTGAAGCCTAATCTTAAAAGTAGAGATAGTGTCTGTCTCCTGAATCCAAACTCGAAGCTGGTTCCATAGAAGAGGGGCCTGAAAACTGAAGGCTCTGCCTCCCATTCTACTTCTAAATAACCACCTTGCCTAACATGTATGATGTAGAGAAGATTGACTGTGATAAAGTTGCTAATAATCATCTCTGCTTGCCTTACTGTGAAAGCCACCACACAACACTGCAATCAATCAATTAATTACAGAATCTCCTCTTTTCAACTTGTTATGTTTATAAAGCACATGTGAAGAAGCAATTTCTTCCATTCCAACCTAAGGAAAGACCAAATAACTTTCAAGAGCTTTTAATTGTTAATTGATTGTTAATTTCCTCATGTTCTGTCATTTTACCTTGTTTTTTTCTGTTTTACCTCTAACACATAAAGCAGAAAGTATATTGTGTTTTACTTATTCCTCACTTATTCTATCTCCAGGTTGGTACAACCGTCTGTACATCAACTTCACGCTGCGGCGTCACATCTTCTTTTTTCTACTGCAGACCTACTTCCCTGCTACTCTAATGGTGATGCTGTCCTGGGTGTCCTTCTGGATTGACCGCAGGGCTGTCCCTGCCAGAGTCTCATTAGGTAAGAGGATCTGCATCATTGTAACTGTTGCCTGTTAAAACTAAATATGTTTCCTAAGGACATCAGATGTGAAAATGTGAAAAATCAAAATCAGTTAGCTCTTTTTGGCCATTAAAATGACCCTCTGTCGTAGTTCATTGACTGCTGCGCTAACAAGACCTTGTATGCTCTTCAGGTATAACTACGGTGCTCACCATGTCCACCATCATTACTGGAGTAAATGCTTCCATGCCCAGGGTATCCTACATCAAAGCTGTGGACATTTACCTCTGGGTCAGTTTTGTCTTCGTCTTCCTGTCTGTGCTAGAATACGCTGCCGTAAACTACCTGACAACTTTGAGGGATGGGAAAGACCGCAAACTCAGAGAAAAAGTTAAGGAACAGGTACAGGCACCTTTTTCAAAACTCACGCATCTCAAACAGTGATCAAACCTATGATTCCTGAATTATGATTCCTTTTGTCTATTTCACCCAGTCCCAGACACTCCCTTGCACATGTGGCATGCCCCATACCAAGACCATGATGCTAGATGGGACATACAGTGAGGAAGACGCCAACAGTCTGGCGGGATACACAAGAGCCTCAATGGTTGCCGAGGACATATCAGATAAACAGGAACAGATGGTAGTGCATCTGTCTTTGGACAACGAGTCCACTGGCACCAAGAAGAAGGGCATCCGTGGCTTCCGGATCATTCAGAACACCCATGCCATTGACACATACTCTCGTATGATTTTCCCAGGCTCATATATCCTCTTCAACCTGATCTACTGGTGTGTGTACTGTTGAGAATTTTAGCTCAAATTGTAGTAGTGAAAGAAAATTACTGTGAAACCATTCTGTTGGACGTAAGCCTGAGGTTTACCTGTTCAAGTTTGCCAGGATGACCTATCAAAGACATCTGGGAGTGAATACTACATCTACCCATTTCATTGTTGGACTGGACATTCTATATAGCTTATTTTTTAATTTTTATTAATGAATCCTTTATTTATCCAGGTAAAAATCTCACTGAGATTCAAAACTCATTTCCAAGAGAGACCTGGCATCATGGCAGCAAAAGACCTGTTCCTGCCTCACAAGCTAATATGTACCCAAGTCACGCTGAGAGAAAACTCATGGGGCTGGTTGCACATTCACTCTAATACAGCGGTCCCCAACCCCCGAGCCACGGACCGGTGCCGTGAGCCGTTTGGTACCGGGCCGCAAGAGTTGAGGCTCGGGTGTGAAATTTATGGTCTTCAGTGCTTTTATCAATTTTTATTGTTATTTTTATAGTTAACTCGGTTTCCCTGGGTCTTTTCCCGTGTGTTATGAATAAATCTTTTTTTTTTTTGTTACCTGTACTGGTTTTATTTTGTTGTATTTATCCGCAACACCTTAAAGGCCGGTCCGTGAAAATATTGTTAGACTTAAACCGGTCCGTGGCGCAAAAAAGGTCGGGGACCGCTGCTCTAATAAACAGGTTAATCATGAGCCTAAAAAGTTTGCTACAGCACCGTAAGGGTAACAGTGGTGATACTTTTGGCTCTTTCACAAAGATGTCAGTTTGCTGGATACATTCTTGTTTGCATCTTGTTCTGTGTTTTATGGTAACTTCAGCAGAAAGTTTCATCTACAATCTCTCACCACTGAATTTTGTCCTTGTTGGTCTTTCAGTAATATACAGTTTCAGCTTAATAAATAGAACTTAGCTCAGCAAAGTTTACAAATAATCTAAGTGGTTTATTCATTGTCAAATGTTCATTTGGACTTTTTAAAACAGACTGTTTTCACAGCAGATATTTTGGCTTGTCAAAGATCAAGTACAGGTGTAACACATATCATGAAAAACAATTTTCATTCCATTTAGGTGAGCAAATTTCAGACCTCTGCCATTCATGCTGGCTCACATATAAACCTCAACTACCTGATGGAACTGCACTATCTGCAGTTAAGGTACTTTCACTTGTGATTATCAGATATGTCAGATTGTCTGACATGAGTGAAGTTTGATGGACTGATATTCTATTCAGTTTTATTTTGTTCATATTAGTAGCAACGGCCTATCCCTTTGTTTCCAAGTCAACATGATAACTGGGGTAACTCTTGCTAAGAACTCTTGCAATATACTTTGTGGTTAATAATATGGTTGTTTTCTGTTTCTATTAAATTCAATTCTACTGTATTTATACAATCCCAAATTACAAAAACAGTTGCCCCAAGGCATGTTATGTTGTAGGGTATAGACCCTGCAAAAAATCTGTTTTCTATTTTTTTCAATTTGTCAAGGTTTTTCACATTATTTGTCACAGTTTGATCTGTAAAACATATAATAACATTTTCTGGATTGGCTTAGTATTACTGACTAGTGAATCAGTGAGCAGCTAGGTCCCAATATTTAAATATCATTTGTGGAAAGAAACAGGCATTCATTTTCTTGTGATTTGTTGGAGTTGCTCTTCATTTAGATGGAAGTTTAACCTGCAGATTTTGCACAACAAAAGTACTTTTGGACAGTTAAATCTAGCCTGTCTCTCTGCAACCAGCCCCTGTCCAGGCTTCCTGGAATAACACACTTCAACCTGAACCTCTCAACTGTCATGACTAAAAAGATTAAGAGAATATAATTTGGCTGCTATTGCCTCCGTAGTCATTGGATTTGACTGAGTCATGTATCTGAATTTGTCCAAAGCAGTTGGATACTGAAGCACTAAGTGAACTTTTAAAGTACTATTTAAAGTACAATTCATTACCGTTGCTGAACAAAGTATTTGGATTATGTATTTATAGGATTTTTAAATTCACCACGTTTTATTTGTTTAATGTTTTATTATTTATTTGCACCAGTATTGGATCCATGTGGCATTGCAGGCAAGTTGCAGGAAACAGGGCTTACACAAAAACTGGTTGGTGAATGCTGCAAGACATGGAATATAATATCTTCCTATATGTATTTTTCTTAGAAAGAACTTTAAAACATAGAAAGCTTTACCAGTGATGTAATCAACTTGAACCGCCTTAAGTGAACATTGTTTTCATATACATATTTTGACAAGATAGATTTTTTGTTTTTAATTAATTTCAGAGCAATGATTGACATTAATCATGTAGGTAACTAGAAGTTAACAGTAGACTGATTATGCTATGATGTGTGTGAATTCATCCGTCACAACACTACTGTATTTTAAGCAGATAGTTCCTACAAAGATATAGTGAGTAAATTATTGAACACTTCACCAATATTTTAAGTAAATATGTCTCTAAGGTGCTACTGACATGAAATTCTCACCAGATGCCTGTAACAACCCATCAAATCCTTAAATGCAAAGAAATCCAATAATATGTGTCCATAAATTATGTATAATCATGAGAAATGACACGTGGGAAAAGTATTGAACACATGAACAATAGGAGGTGCAAGAAAGCCATGTAAAGTGATGACACCAGCTGAAATCTATCAGTTATTAGAAAGCAATCCTGCCACCTATTGCAAATTAATATCAGCGGGTTCAGTCCCAACTGAAGGCCTTATAAAAAGGTGTCTTATTACCAAGGAGTCGCGCAATAAACATCTCATGACGGGTAAAACGATCTTGAGATCTTTGCAACCTTATTGTTGCATTGGTTACAAAAGAATTTCTAAACTACTGAAGGTTCCCAGGAGCACTGTTGGGGCCATAATCCCAAAATGGAAAGAATATAATTTCACCATAAAGCAGCCACTACCAGGTGTTCCCTTCAAGATTTCAGACAGAGGAGTAAAAGAAATTATCAGATGAGTTGTCCAAGATTCAAAGACCATTTGTGGAGAGCAGCAGAAAGATGTAGAATTGTTTCAAAGAAACGATAAGCAACGGACTTCACCGCCACAGTCTTTATCCACGCACTCTTTTGCTGAAGAAAAAGCATGTTGAAGTGTGTTTAAAGTTTGCTGAACAAGATTTAAACAAGTCTGTGAAATACTGGGGAAATATAGTCTGGACAAATGAGACCAAAATTGAACTTTTTGGATGCCATAGTACACATCATCTTTTGAGATCAACAGGCAATGCATATACCCCCCAGTTTGGAGGTGGGAACATCACGGTGTGGGGATGTTTTTTATCATACGGCATTGGCACGCTTCACATAACTGAAGGAAGACAATATTTTCTTTTTCTGAAACCAGCTGAGTTTCCTTGACTGTGTGTTTGGGATCAAAGCTGCTAGAATGGTCCAGTCAATAACCTGACCTGAATCCAACTGAAATCTTATGGCGAGAACTAAAGCTCAGAGTTCACAGAAAGGGCCCACAGAACCTTCAGGATTTGAAGACTGTTTGTGTGAAAAAAAAAAACTCACCTGAGCAATACATGCAACTTTTCACCTCCTGTTTCTCCATACAGGAGGCGCCTTGAAGCTGTCATCACCACCAAAAGCTTTTATAAATACATTTCAGTAACCATGTTCAATACTTTTTCCCTGTGTCATTTTTCATTTTACACATAATTTATGACATCTGTGGTTTGATTTCTTTAGCTCAATTCGATTCAATTTTATTTATATAGCACCAAATCACAACAACAGTCGCCTCAAGGCGCTTTATATTATAAGGTAGACCCTACAATAATAGGGCCTACCTTATTTTTGTTCACCTTGCGTGGATTGAAATGTGTTATTACCAGCATCTGGTGTAAATTGTATGTCAATAGCACTTTCAGAAATATATTTACTTAGTAAACTGATGACTTGTTCAATAGTTATTTTACGTGCTGTATACATTTCTGACAGATATACAGTTTGACAGATTAAACTTTTATTTATTTACATAATTGGTTTCGCTTACCATAAAGCAAAGGTACGTAAAATAGCAAACCTAGTTCAAGTTGGTGTTTGTACATTTTTATTCTGGTACTCCACTAGGGTACATTTGCATGATTCACACATTAAGGAAAATCCTCATTTATAGTGGGGTAAAAAATTGTAAGTTTGCTCATTTACAACAGGCTCTAAAATGTATGATAGTTTAATTTTATCAGCTGATGTGCACGTCACTGAGTAAAATAAGTTTTTGATTTTCAAGCAAAACATGACTCATTAATTGGTGGAAAACCCCTTGTTGGCAAGCACAGTGTTAAGATGTTGCTTGTAGTTGGTGACTAGGTTTGTACATATCTCAGGATTTTGGCCACTCCCCTTTACAGAAACTCTCTAAACAAAGGTGGCTGTGGCACAAGAGGTACTAGTTGCAAGGAATGTGGTTCGATCCCTTGTTACTCCAGTCTACATGCCAAAGTACCCTTGGGTAAGATACTGAACCCAGAGTCATCCAATGCGATTAAGAGTGGGAGGGATCATGGTAGTTGCGTAATTCAATTTTCTTTCTTCAAAGATGGTGGGTTGAGTTAAAGCCAAAAAAAATTTGATTTTGGTTTTATTCTGACCACAGCACATTCTCCCAAGCCTTCTCTAAATCCTTTAAATGGTGTCTTACAAACTTAAGATGGGCCTACACGTCTGCATTTTTGAGCAGGGGCACCTTGTGAGCACAGCAAAATTTCAATCCATTATAGCATAGTGTGTTACCAGTTGTGTTCTTGGTAACTGTGGTTCCAACTGCCTTCAGATAATCAACAAGCTTCTCCTGTGTAGTTTGGGGCTGATCCACCACTGTAGAGGCTGAGCTTACGCTTGAAGCCACTGAGGTGTTCGTTGGCTGGGGTGATGCGATGCCACTGTTATGAATGAAACTTATCACAGTCCAGTAACTCCAGCCATACTTATCTGTATTCCACTTCCATCAGTTGCATTTGTTGTCAACAGTTCTC